TTTTCAGAGGCTGGTGTCAATAAAAGCTTTTATTGGACTAACAAGGACGTTTTCAGCTCTGAAACTTACAGGATATTCTTATAATATGATGACCTCTTAGATGTCCAGCACCCTGTAAAGTCTCATCCCCAAACACTTTCATTGAATTTAAAGGATAATTCCGGTATTTAACACCTTGAGTCTATTTTGTAGTTTGTTTTGAATGAAATAGAGTGGTGGACTTAGAAATTTCGACAATGGGTCCTGTCTCGACTTTTTGACTATTTTACAATCGCCTGTGACAGCGTTAGACTGGCTGTCTATGGGCATGCACAAACATGTCCTTAAAATAACCCTTAACGTTCATTTTCAAAACTGTGCAACTCACCAAGTGGTTGGTGGTGTTCGTTGAAGTAGCGTAGCGAAATACCGTTTCTGTCGTGTTTTATTTGTCATTATTTAAAATCGCATTGATGTCTGCTGGAGGACTCAGTGCTCGTTAATATTACTGCGCTAGGCTAGCTACCGGGAACGGAAAGGGGTCTGTTTACATTTGGTTGTAGTCTTTTCGCTCAGTTCTCCATCTTACCCATAGGTCTTGCCATATTTGACTGTGTCTGTGACTTTTTTACGGTGCGCTAGACACCGTGTTCCGTACAGCGTCCTGGTTGTCGCCATCAAGTGGTCGGGAGTGTGCTAACGCTTCAGACTCAAATATCGAGCAGAAGTTTATACGCGGTTGTGAGGTATCTGAAAAAATATTTCCACTATAGCAAACAACACGGATTGAAAGCATACATAGCGCCGATATATTTGTTTTTAATCATCAACGAACACCACCAAGCACTCGGTGAGTTGCAGTTTTGAAAATGAACGTTAAGGGTTGTTTTAAGGACATGTTTGTGCATGCCCATAGACACCCAGTCTAACGCTCACACAGGCGATTGTAAAATAGTCAAAAAGTCGAGAAAGGACCCATTGTCGAAATTTCTAAGTCCACCACTCTATTTCAATCAAAACAAACTACAAAATAGACTCAAGGTGTTAAATACCGGAATTATCCTTTAAAGTCCCCGTGAACCGGAAGTTGCGAACGACTTTTCTCCAGTGTTGTGACGCATTTCCGAGAGAAACGGAATACTAAATGAGGCAAAATAGTGGGTGGCTTTTTTTTTCCAACTAGCACCTGATTGGATCTAGAAAAATGGGTGTTTCATTCTGAAATGGAGGATGACGCCAATTTACACACGCTGTCAATCAATGCTCGCTCGGCGCTCGGAAACACACATCAGCTGTCAGTTGGAGGGGCGTGGTTATGGATGTTAAGGAGACACCCAAACCGTAAAGCCTACGTCATCGGGCAAGGTCCTCCAATGCAGTGGGGAGAGGCATTTTCAAAATGTAAAGATTGCGAAGCCAAAAAATTTTTTGGGGGGGAATTACTTGCATGTATGAATTGTTCACCACAAAACGATCAATTTAGGCAAACAAAGTATGGTCAATTTTGATTTCATGGGGACTTTAAAGGGTTAGTTCACCCAAAAATGAAAATTAAGTCATTAATTACTCACCCCCATGCTGTACCAACCCCGTAAGACCTTCGTTCGTATTCGGAACACAAATGAAGATATTTTTGATTAAATTTGAGAGCTGTATAACTACCACATTGGCTCCTAAGGGACTGCCTCTTGACGGCCCAAAAAGTCAATGAAGAAAATGTTTAAATATCCCAAGTGACTACCGTGGCTCAACTATATGTTTATCAAGCGACGCGAATACTTTTTGTGCAAAAAAACAAACAAAAATAACGAGTTTATTCGACTATTTCTTTTCTTCCTTGTAGGCCAGAACGAGACTTCCTTAGATTTCCACGACGCATGCGCGAGAATTGCGATCTGAAGTAGTGTAAGCTGGTGTGAGCAGATCGCAATTCTCGCGCATGCGTCGTGGAAATCTAAGGAAGTCTCGTTCTGGCCTACAAGGAAGAAAAGAAATAGTCGAATAAACTCGTTATTTTTGTTTGTTTTTTTGCACAAAAAGTATTCGCGTCGCTTGATAAACATATAGTTGAGCCACGGTAGTCACTTGGGATATTTAAACATTTTCTTCATTGACTTTTTGGGCCGTCAAGAGGCAGTCCCTTAGGAGCCAATGTGGTAGTTATACAGCTCTCAAATTTAATCAAAAATATCTTCATTTGTGTTCCGAATACGAACGAAGGTCTTACGGGGTTGGTACAGCATGGGGGTGAGTAATTAATGACTTAATTTTCATTTTTGGGTGAACTAACCCTTTAAGGTCTGTCCCAATTCATGTGTGAAAAAGCTTCTTCATGCTCCTCGACCATTCTTTCACAATCTGAGCCTGATGCATCTTGACATTGTCCTCCTGGAATATGGCCATGATGTGTCTTCCTATATGGCTGTTTAAGAAATGAAAAGCTACACACTCCATCACTTAGGGTTAGAAGGACGTGTTCTATAAATGGAAGCATTAACTAATTTGGGCCGATGCATTGCCATTTCAGGCTGCACACACTCGATTTTCTTGCCAATGTTTATTTCAAAGCCAACATTATCATAAGTGCAGATCCAGCCCCTGAATTTCAGCCTAACACAAATTGCCTTTATTTAAAACCTTTATTTAAAAGGTCACTCAGAGGTGACTGTCTAGTTCCAAAGTGTAAGACCTCTTTTGGTCAGTCTGCTTTCTCTGTAAAGGGGCCAAAACTCTGGAATGCTTTGCCCACTAATTTGAAACTAGAGACAGATGGAAATGCTTTTAACAGAGGACTGAAACAATGGCTGAAAACTAAACAACAGTGCTCACATGTATAATCTATTACTAATACTTTCTGATTTTGATACTTGCTGTTTTTATTTTTTGTTTACTTATTTATTTATTTGTTTCTTTTTTTTTTTCCCTCCCCTTGTAACTGTATTTTATTTTATTTTCAAAAGCCTTCCGTGGACAGGTGTTGAAAATTAGCATGTATGCTATAATCACTAAAAAACAAATGCATATGGCTCGTCCAATGTAATTGTATGTCCATGTCAAATAAAGATACACGAGTAAAAGCCACTTGAAAACTGCAGCCATGACCTAAGTATAACGCAGTTAACATATTCCACTGCAAAGGCATTGATTACTCCGCTAAATGTAGATGTGCCCTTAGCGTGTATTGACTCGCTGCCGTTTTAATGGCAAATAAATTCTGTGACGGAAGCGTTCTTTTAACCTTCACTCCTCTTACTTCATGTTTGACCCACTGTCTTCTGGCATTTCTGTGACCTATCTGAAGAACCCTTAGAGACAAGCTGCCATATAATGTCAAAGTCATAATTTCAGTGCATCTCCGTGTCCTCGACTGTGTGACAGTCCTTATCACAGTCATCAAGGTTGGGGAGGGGGTCCTGTATCCTCTAGCGCCGTACGCATGCTATTTATAGACTGGCTTCGAATTCGAACAACTTGTGCTTTGAGACATGGAAAGAGAGATGGAGAGAGAATGAAAAAAACACGTTGTGGGAAATTAAATTCGGTCTTGTTGTGTTAGACTCCACTTGCATCACTTGTTTGCCTCTCATTGTCAGATTGGAGTAAATCACGTCCACAAGGAATCAGGAAATACAGGAGCTAATTACGCCCTCCGCCAGCCTTCGCTTGAATGGTTTCGACACACTTATCTCCTATAGACGTCCCCTCTGATCAATAAAACATCTAGAAAGATGTAACCAAATATCTGGGGTTCAAGTTATAAAGCCAGGATCAATGATCGGCCATAAATCTGAATACTGGGAGGGACAACTACTGTTTTTTTTTGAGGGTGGTGTGCATGCTCACACACGCCCCAACCCCTATGTTTACACTTAAATACGCCTGATAGGAAGGACATTGCTCAGTGACATTACTGGGGTTTTACTCACAAAAGGTAAGTCAAGATGACAAGCTGTTAAAGGGGACATATCATGCAAAATCCACTTTTTTAGCTCTTAAATGCATTTTGTGGTATATTCGGAGTGTTTATAAGTACAGAAAAGATGAAATTATTCTCTTCAGGTGCTTCGTTTATATCTTTATATTCTGTTTTGGTCGTATTTTTCAACCTGTTCAGATTTTTCAACAATTACGTCACAGTATTTGCAGCGGAACTGACAAATAAGGACATCGACTACCGGTCCAACACTTCGAGCAATCCGCCATTATTATTTCTCGCTCCGATTTTGTAGTCCGAGCTCAATGATGCAGAAGTTACGAGAGGGCAAGTCAAAATGTTCGGTTGTTGGATGTAGTGACCTGAAGCACTTCAAGGATTCCCACTTACGCCAGTAACATTATACAGAAGGGTTTGCCGATCGACTTCGTCTGAATGAGGGGTAACGTAAATTCCTTCTATCATTTAGCTGCTGTGTTTGCTGATGCTTTTCTAAAGTTATAATATTATTATCAATACAGATTTTTAGTGGTAAAGATTAGACCGTAATCACTTTCACTAATAACACAACATAGTTAATTTAACTTACATACCCCTGCATCCATATTATGAAAATGTTGTTCAGCAGGTTCGTCGTCGTCTTTTTCAACTCGCTCGCTCTGGCTCGAATATGTAAGGCTTGATGGACTAGTCTTCCGTGTTTGACATTTTGTTAACATGTGAATAAAAATGTTCTTTGAAGCTATAGTAATCGTATATCTCTAATCAAACTACAATAATGGCCGAACGGGGGGAGTTGAACCGACCGTGAACTCATCGACCTGGAGAGCGGGCGGGGAAAGACGCAACTCCTTTTTTATTTAAAGGGGCCGCTTCGAAACGGGTCGCTCACAGACGCACATCAGAAAAGGGGCTTGTGGAGCTATAATAATGAGGAATTCAGACCCAAGCATTGCAGTTATGCTTTATATAGACCACAAATGTATGATTAATAAGTAAAAACGAATGATATGTACCCTTTAACATAAATTGGTGCATTCTTATTGCATCTAGGTGACGCCTCTGTCTCTTCTGTTTTTTTTGGCAGAATGAACAAAGATCTCCAAGAACTCCCAAGGACAATATGAAATTTCATAGTTGAAGGTCACAATCAAGTGTGGCCAAACCTGAAAGAAAATATCCGTTTTCAGGATGATTCTGCTGTCTTTCTCTATAACCGCGATTCTTCCACCTCCTCAATCCACAATCAGCTATGGATAACAACACAAAATATGCACTTTGCCCAGACTCTGATTTCACAGGAATTGGCAGACGCTTGACGCTTAATATGGAGTATATTTTGGACCTCTCTGGTGTCGACTGTATTTATTTATCTTTTGTCTTTCTCTAAAAAAAAAAAAGGCTGGGAAAACCCACGCAAGTTTCTGAATTGCATGCGAACAGTGAATGAAGATACTCATTTAGCACTAGGTCATAAATATATCAGGGTGTCATGGCTTTCTGTTAGAACCGATAATCAGCATTATTTGCTGCAAGGTTTTGTAAATGAACATAAGCAATTCTTTCAGGTGAAACCAAGGACTCTGCCAAAATCTAAAATCTGCTTAGTTTGAACATTCGCACCTGGTCGCACTCCATCTCTCAGGATGAGCCAGAAGTCCGACTCGGAGACCGAGAGCTCCCAGGCGCCTGTGATTTACACAGTAGAGGAACTGGAGTGCAAGATCTGCTACAATCGCTTTGACACCCGGGCCCGCAAGCCCAAGGTGTTGAGCTGCCTGCACCGCGTCTGTGCCAAATGCCTCAAGAAGATGGTGGAGCTGGACTCGTCTCCGAGCATCATCAGCTGCCCCTTCTGCCGCCACGAGACTCACGTCCCTGACGAGGAGATCTGGCTTCTTCAAGACGACAGCAACATCCTGGCCATTCTGACTTACCAGGACCGGGCTCGCAAGAGTGGTACCGTGCCCAGCGGCGAGGTCCTTTTGACGCCCAACAGCCTGAGCGGAGGAGAGCAGGCGCACAGCTCCTCCGATTGCCTCGTCATCACAATCATGGAAGTCCCTGGAGAGTCTCAGTCCTCTGAATCCATGAGCATGCTGAACATGGTGCGCTTGTATCGGCCAGCCAGTTTGGACTCCTTGCCTTGCCACCTGCCCGTGCAGAAATGTCGGGCTTGGACGTCCCGTACGGTTCCCCGCTTTCTGATGGGTTTCCTCTGCCTGGTGTACTTCAGCTCGCTGCCATTGGGGATCTACTTGCTGATGATCCAGCAGCTCACGATGGGAGTGATCCTGGTCAGCTTGGTGCCCTCCACCTTGGTCCTTTGCATATTCTACGGCTTCTGCCAGTGTCTGTGCCACGAGATCATGGAGGCCATCGCCACATAGCACCCGACGATCATCGGGCTGAGACTAGCGAGACCTGTAAAAGTACAAAAGCCAAAAGACTGATGTATATCTGTTAGGCCGTGTGTCCACCAAAGCGTTTTTCCACGCGCCTGGCGTATGTTTTTAATTGTTTTCCGCGTTTTTTAAACGCCATGAGCGTACCGAGGCGCTGAGCGTTTTTTTTCACACTGAAGCGCTGAGCGCCCGGCGTGTTGAAAAATGTTCAACTTTGGATAAAACGCATCGCTCATCACTAGGGTTGGGTATCGTTTGAATTTGAACGATTCTGATTCCGATTGCGATTCCTTGTTTCGATTCCGGTTCCTAACGATTCTCGATTCCGATTCTTTTAAGAGGCAGGGTCAAAAAAGTTTAGCTAACATTGCTAACCAACGGCCTTTCTGAAGGAAATACCCCTTCTGTAAAAATACTCCTTTTGTCACAAATTTTGCATTTTGCCGAGATTTCGTTATTTTTAGAAAAGTAAAGCCACACTTTGGATCGCCGACGTAAGGTACTCATGTTCGACTCGCGTGGCTATGCCAACACTTCCGGTAGACGCTTCTTCGTTGGTGTTGTTCAGCGGTTTCTTCTTCCGCTCGGCGGACTGTGAATATCGAAGCTAGGAATCGAAATTTTTACTTTTGAACGATTCAAGGAAAAACGAAAAGTTAGTCTCGGTTCCAATCCATACTCGATTCTCGATACCCAACCCTACTCATCACTGTCACTTTTTACTAGTGGTGTCAACAATAATCGATGCTGCAATGCATCGCAATGCGGGAAATGCACGATTCAGCGTCGATGCGGCAAAGTGCCATAATCGATTATGTCACTGTTTATTTTCTAGCCTTGGACAACAAAGTTTTGAAGTTTAAATTACTTCCGGGAGCAAAACAACAAAAATAAAGATGGCTGAGGCGGAGGGAGATGACCGCGATAGACGGGTAATCAAAAACGCACCCAAAGCTTTGAAAGACACATTTCGTGGGAAACTAGATAAGATTTACGCGGTGTGTAAAACCTGCCACACTAAAATCAAATATGTTGGCAATACAACTAACGTCACGAACCATGTTGATCGTTAGCATCCTGAGTTGGCTTCAACAACAGCATCGTAATCGAATCGAATTGTGAGGGCAGTGCCAATGCACACCCCTACTTTTTACCCAGCCGTCCAATCACAGTGGAGGAGGGGCGGGACTAATACCACACCGACCAACTGTCAACATTCAAACTGCTGTGGATATTCTGTATCATAGCAACGAAACGTCTCAGCGGAAAAAAAAAAGCGCTGCGCTCTCAAGCGCCCAAAGCAGAGCGTCTAGCGTTTTCAGCTGGCTAAAAACGCTTTGGTGGACACACGGCCTAAATCCCAGACACCACATTTTCCCCACTACACCAGCGAATTCCTTGTAAAATCACCTCACATTTAATGCAGGGCCAACTATACTTGTCTTTAGCAGCTAAAGCTTGATTACCGAGTTATTGATTTTGGACTGTGGTTTTGTATCACGTCTAGCTCACCCAATGGGTCTTCAACAACTGTGATATAAATAACACGCAACAGAGAATGAAGTCCTTCCACTTTATGGAAACCACAGGATGTGTTCAATAATGTTCATTTTCTGTTGTCTATCCGTGGTATAGTTTCAATCATTGTCTCAATGTTCTCGTTGAAGTTCCTAGTTGCCTTTGTAAGGCATGTCTATGGCCAAGCTGTAATGTATATGTAAAATAAGTGATTTTGTGTTTGTCATTGCTATGAGAATGAACAAATACTTTAAAGCCACCTGTTAGGTGTTCAATAAAGATTCTTCCATATCTAACTCGATTACAGATAAAACTTATCGAGTGCACTTACCATACTTGAAGACTGCTAGATTATAGTTCTGGAAAAGACAAGAAAATGATATATTGCTTTTGCAACTGACCTCCTAAAATATTATAATAACTCCTTAACTGTCACGTCCCACAGGTGGGTCGCTTGCGATTATATTTTAAAACAAAAGACCTTAAGTAATATTAACAAACTGTAGCTTACATTCGTTTCCGTATTTGGTGACTGATTTTCAAAATAAATTACACAGGAGCTGTAATTTACCAATTTGCATAAAGCGTTTGCAGACCTTTATTTTGAAATAGCAATGAACATGAAAAATCATGAAAAAAAGGTAGAAACCTCAGTTTGTTTTCATGCCAAGAGTTGCATCCATTCAATTATTTTAGAAAAAAAAGGTCTGAAAATGTTTTAAATATTACGAAAAAAAAAATTATAAATTCACCATTTGTGATGTGAATTCAACCACTAGAAACGCATACAAAAAACACGCATGCGTTCATTATATCTTATTGCCACATCAAAATCTGCCAAACCTCCCATACTACGTCTGAATAGGATGTCTACTTCATAAATTGTATGAAAATAATTGTTCATATTCTCAAAACACATATGGAAATGGCGGCGCCCTTATATGGGCAGTAATGGAGTCTGGTTGTGCCCTAGTGGAAGCGTTCGGTACTGCCGCCCAAACAAAATCTCACAGAAAGCTATTTTTTTTTGAGATATCAACCTAAAATTTTAACCTCAACTCGTTCAGATTTTTGGCTTTGATTTTTCTGCAGTTTTAGAGTAGCCCAGGTTTTGAAAATATATATTTTGTATAAAATATGAATAATTTTTTTTACATTTAACTGAAACTTCACTTTATTAATGTATTTCACTTAGACAAAAATATGCCAAATGTCGTTTTTAAAACAAGAGCAATCTTACGTCTAAATTCCAAAGCATTCTAGAAATACAACCATTTAAGTTCAAAATGTGCATTTCCAGGTCTATTCAAAAAAAGGGGGGTGACAGTAAAGAGGTTAATAAACCATGCGTTATATACGAGGAATACCCTCCTACATCACAATTTTAAGTGTGAAGCAGGTTATAATTATGAGTGCCTATTACAGCTTTGCTGTTTTGCTAACTGAATGAACTAATATTCTTGTGTTGCTCAGGAGAGTTAACCCATGGGAGCGTACGTGTTGCATCAAGCTTTCAAACAAGCCCAAGTAATCGCAAGAGAGTCAATAAAGGATCCCCGTCTGTTCCTCCACAAAACCATACTCTCTCCCTGTGGACAATTAACTTCACAGAAACCACTGTGCACAGCACACACATTATCACAAACACACATATATAAAGACAACCGCACATGGAAAGTCATTATGCATGGATCTCTTGATCTCAAATCTTGTCCTCCCAATGTTGAATGTTTTTTTATTCTGAAAAAGAAGGAAATCTGACATAATCGACAGCACAAGGTATTCTGGGAGCATGGACTGCAAGGTTTGGGCCTAATTTTAACAAGTGTCCCTGAAGACCAGCCTCTATAAAAGCTTTGGAAAAAGAGAGGAGCATACGAATACAAGGAGGTTGGCAGAAGAGTCTCAAACGGATGTAAATCACACTGAGGGCTATGAAATCCCACGGATATCTTTGAGGCTCAGTTAACTGTAAGTGGCCGTTTTATTTAGTAAAATGTACAAATGCAAACATGTGTAATCTGAACTTATATCAAAATGATATTAGAAATAAGGTAAAATAAGAAGTTTTTAAATGTACTTTAAAACTAAGCACAAGTTTGCAATGAAAAATAAATCATGTATGGGTGCAAAAAGATTGAGATTAGGAAAATATATATATATATATATAAAGTATCATTAAAATTATTTTGGTTAAGAATTGGCCAGACCCATTCTGAAATTGCAAGACCAACAATAACTTAAATATTAAAAGTTTCAGGGGACTATGAAATCCCACGGATATCTTTGAGGCTCAGTTAACTGTAAGTGGCCGTTTTATTTAGTAAAATGTACAAATGCAAACATGTGTAATCTGAACTTATATCAAAATGATATTAGAAATAAGGTAAAATAAGAAGTTTTTAAATGTACTTTAAAACGAAGCACAAGTTTGCAATGAAATCTAAATCATGTATGGGTGTAAAAAGATTGAGATTAGGAAAAAAAAAATTTAAAAAAAATATATAAAGTAAGTATCATTAAAATTATTTTGGTTAAGAATTGGCCAGACCCATTCTGAAATTGCAAGACCAACAATAACTTCAATATTCTGCCAAGTTTAGGTTGCTCACAACACAAGTGGTAATGAATCGCTGGCGGCAGTCAGTGGTGGAGATCCAAACCAGAAAGAGGCAGGTGAACGAAAGCGAGCGGGCACATGCCGCCCTGAGTAAAGTGACAGCCTGCTACCAGCAAATGGCAACCTCATTGGGGAGCAACATTGACGGGAGCTTCCTTAGAGAGGAGCTGGAGGAAACCAGGATAGTAGCTCGTAAAATATGCTCAGGTAAGAAACAAAAAGACAAGTACTTAAAAAGTACATGCAGAAATGTCACATTCTCCTTTCAGTATTTTCCTGCTGGCCATATTCAATTACGCCACATTCAAACTATCAAGAGTTGACTTGATCGACTCGTGTTTCAGGGCTTCACCGGAGGCTGCTAGCTCTGCTGACAGAAATGGAGGAAGGACAAGAGGACAAAGAACAGGTTGAACGACTTTGGGCGATCTTCTTGTCCAGTTTGGAAAACTTCCAGCAGGACCTAAAGAAGGTCAGAGCCTTGCAAGAGATGTTCCCCCTCACCCAGCGCAAAGATCGACAAGCCCTCGTCAACACGGGTTACGTAGGTGGAACTTCAGAAGTCGCAGCTCGAGCGGCGATGGTGCAGACGCCATGGTTATCGATAGAGGAGACGGAAAGACCAGACCTGAAGACCCACATAAAGGAGATTGAGGTTCAGCTTGAAGAAATGTTCCAGAGAGTTAACGTGCCGCTGTGGTCTATCGAACCCACAGAAGAAGCTGATGGTGGGCAAGAGGAGGATGAAAGTTTGGAGGACATGATGGAAGTGGAGGTGGTGTCTCAAAATAATATATCGGGCTGTTGCCAGCACCACAACTGCAAAGTAGGCTGTCTACTATGTCTACTCAGCTAAGTTTAGCTTTTTGAAATTGAGACGTGAATTCTGCAATTACAGATTAAATTGTTGACCGTGATACTTTGTAAACCCTTTAAAGGGATAGTTCACTTTTACCTCAAGGGCATCCGAGATGTAGGTGTCTTTGTTTCAATTTTGATATTTTTTTAGGTCAAACCGTTCTTGTCTGTCAGTCATATAATGGAGGTCTATGGTCACCACCTCAAAAGTCCAAATTAAACACGATTTAATGACTCGTAAATGTAAGTACACATTGATGGCCTAAGAAACTAAACGAGCGGTTTGTGTGAGAAAACTAACAGTATTTATATTGTTTTACCTCTTGTAATCACAGCCACGTCCAAGTGATCGGCGCTTCGGTCTGCGCAAGTGATCTCTCACGCGTTGTAAACACAAAATTCAAAGTTGTGTTTTGATATATCAAAATGGTCTTCCATTGCGATTTCCAGTATATCTAAATGTTTAGATCTTCACAGTGAAGGGTAACGCATCCAAAATCTCTGTGTAAACATTGACTTGCACCCACGCCCTCAGATCACTTGGACGTGGCTGTGGTTACAAGAGGTAAAACGATATAAATACTGTTCGTTTTCTCACACAAACCGCTCGTTTCGTGTCTTAGGCCATCAATGTGTACTTACATTTACGAGTCATTAAATCATGTTTAATTTGGACTTCTCTGTGCATGCTCTTTGAGGTGGTGACCATAGACCTCCATTATATGACTGACAGACAAGAACGGTTTGACCTAAAAATATAAAAATTCAAACTACTGCGGAAACAAAGACACCTACATCTTGGATGCCCTTGAGGTAAGCTAAAACATACCAACAATTAATTTCAAAGTGAACTATCCCTTTAATTTGATCATCTTTCAGGCTATAATTATTTTCTGTGGCTGGTTGCATAAGATGCTTAGACTAGCTTTACAAGTCAGTCATCTATTATTTTCTCTTTAAGACTGGGCATAACTTTACATCAGTTAAATAAAGTTGCTTGGTCTCATTTGAATCTTAAAAGACTGATTACCCATCGACTAACAACTAGTTAACTTAATTTAAATTCTGTCATCATTTAGTGGTTTTAAAGCTGTATGAATTTCTTTCTTCTGTTGAACACAAAAGGAAGATATTTTGAACAAAGTCAGCAACCAGAGAGTTGATGGATCCCATTGACTTCCATACTAGCAGAGAAAATACCATGAAAGTCAATGGGGTCCAACTGTCTGGTTACCGACAGTCGTCAAAATATCGTCCTTTTGAGTTCAGCGGAATAAAAATTCATACTGGTTTGAAACAACTTAGGGTGAGCAAATGACGATTTTTATTTTTAAGTGAATACTCCTTTAAGACCATCTGGTGGCAATGTTATTAATCAGAAAGCCTTCATACTGTAAAAATAAAAAATAAAACAAAAGAAAAGGAAACATTATGGTCTAATTTCCAACCTTTTTTTTTTTTTATTCTAATAAGTAGGCACATTTCATTCAGCATTTTATTAAGGCAACACAGAAATAATATACACAAAGACATTACAGAACATTGACATTATGTATATGAAGAGGTAAAACAAGAGGCAGACATTTGTTCAATTCTTGTAGGTTGCGTGCAAATGGGCTTTGAAGGCTGCAACAAGTGATTCGAAACATGTCAGTTTATGGCATAATTGTGTAAAAACACTAAAGTTTCAAACAACGGCTTCATTTTGGCATGTTCTCTTACCTTCCTGGTCATCCCATAGTTCAGCAGCTGCAGTGTTCATCGGACTATCATTGTTGGGTTCTAAAAAACAGAATTCACATGTACAGCGGTAAATTACTTTAAAGATCAAATCAGAAAACAAATATGCTACTTTATATACTAACAGAAAGTAGTTCACATAAAATTAATTAAGACTTGAATTAAAGGATTCTACTAGAACCAGACCGATATATCGGCAGGCCGATATTATCGGTTGATATTAGGCATTTTACAAGCTATCGGTATCGGCAGTTATAATGGCCGATAAATGAATATTTCAAAAATAAAAATGGATGAAACACGCTTCAACCATGTCATGTTGGAGTTGTACAAGTTTGTCCACCAGAGGGCACTCTATATCACCCCTGGCCTGTTGGCAACACTCGTTTATAACGCGCAACACATTCTAGCTAACCACAAAGCTAGCTAATGCCACCATCATCAGTGGAATTTAATGACCGTTGTTAATTAATTAATGAGCTTTGGTTCCACCTCTGTTCTGCTGCGACAATAAAAGAAACAAGTTTCTTTTTAAAATGCATTATCATATTATTTTAATTAAATCCCATACATAACTACAAATAACTAATGTTAGGGAAATCTGTTAATGTTTTGTTGTGCGTTCCTGAAAAAGATAAAATAAAAAATATCGGCCGATATATCGGAATATTGGATTTTAAAACCAACAAATATTTGTATCGGCCTTCAGAATCCTTTATCGGTCGGGCTCTAGATTCTACATATAAGGGGATAAATAGGCATTGGCAAAGTAAATGAAATCATACTGTAATCGTTTAATTTCAATTAAACACCCTGAAGATCACAATCAATTCAAATTCCAACTCATGTGAAAGCGAGGCAAATCTTGGTTTCTCACGTGAAAGCAGAACCTACCGCCTAGTAGACTCTGGATGGACAGCAGTATGGAGCGAACGTCATAAAGTGCGGACCACTTGTCCTTCAAAATGTCTAGGCAGATGAAACCGTTCTCATCAACATTCGGGTGGAAGCAAGCAGTGACGAATTTCACCCGAGGGGCGTTGTAGGGGTAGCCGCTAGGAAACTCCAGTGAAAGTTTGTACCTCAAACCTTCATAAACCTAAACAGGGAGGAAACAGATATATGCAGGACTCTCATAAAAACAAGATTCGTATATTGTATGCAAGAATCCTGACAACTCCGAGTCCCACCGTTCCTTGAGCTCCATCTATTGTGCCGATCCATTTGAAGAGATTGTCAGACTCTGGAAACGCTGAAATACCCTTGTCTCCTGACATCTGCATTGACAAAGCATTGCGTTAAACAACAGTTAAAGGCATTGAAAATTCTGTCATTTACTCACCCACATGTTGTTCCAAACCTGTATGAATATTTTTCTTCTACGCAACACAAATGAAGATATTTGGTAGAATGTCAGTAACCAAACAGTTGATGGATCCCATTGACTTGCATATCATGGAAAATAGGGATGCACGATATATCGGCCAGAATATCGGTATCGGCCGATATATTAAAGCCGATAAATCGTCATATTGGCTATACAATACTATAACATGGACATGGATTTAGTTGTGAGACTTTTGTTTTTGTAATCAGGCTCTCAAAATTAGAAAAAAATTTGGATTAAAGTTCATCGGCTGATATATCGGGTATCTGCTTTCAAATATAAAGAATTATCGGTATCGGCCAAAATTTCATATCGGTGCATCCCTAATGGAAAAACTTATATTGAAATCAATGGGATGCATCAACTGTTTAGTTTCTGACATTCATCAAAAGAACTCGTGTTCAGTAGAAGAAACAAATTCATACAAGTTTGGAACAGGTTGAGGGTGAGTAAATGACAGAATTAAAATTTTTGGGTGACCTATCCCTTAAAAGAGACTACACAGAATACCTGCGTTACATAAAGGCCTTACCATTAGCGTCATCAGCTCTTGCTGAAGCCTAGAGGGAAAGGGGTGACATTGAACATTAATGTGAATAAGAAAAATAAGTGCTTAAATATTTTCTTTGTACAGTGGCTTTCTTTACATGCACACCTTTTTGATTCAATTACACCATTGCACATGCACAGTCCTTTCAGTTTCTTTTTCAATTCAATCAAGTGTTTACATGTTCTCTGGATCGGATTAGAAAGGAATAAACCACCCCTTTCAATACGATCATCAATTCCATTTGGTTAGATTAAGGCGTTTACATTTTCAGTCCGATTGAACCGTCAATCCGATTACTAATGGATTTTTTTGATTGCAGTGTCATTTTCAGATGCCAAGATAAATGTAAGTGTTAAATGTGGAATTAACAGTAGTGAAACAGCACCCCCTAGGCATAAAAGCCCTAATAGATTCTAATGAAATATGAATTACAAAAAAAAAAGGACCCTATGAGGAAAATAAATACAAATAAATTACAGCTCTGGATAGGACCAATATGATTACCAATAACATAAACATTCACAATGCATTTAAACTTTAAGGATTCTGAAACTCCCAATATACAGTTTGATGCTTTGAATTCTTAAGCAACCATTTCTGACAGAAAGGGGAATAAATAAACAATTTTTGTCAGACTCAGAAACACAATTTACTCTAACTTGTTTATTAAACTCGCAATGACACTCATAACAGCAGTAACGTTACACTTGCTCACGTGGTATTGTTTAATTCCAGTAACGTACTATAAACACAATTTCAAGACAAATTCGGTTCTGATAAAGACGACAATGTTTCCCGAACCAAATAAGCATAAAACAAGGTTATGGGAATCCAGTTGTAACAGGATATCTTATTGATCTCATTAGAATTGATTCCAAGTTATGAAAATATTTCCGATACAATCCTACGTGCATTTCTTTCAGAGAATGGCCCATGATTTGTGTCACACATAACGTTACGAGGTTTCACTAAATTTAAAAGTAATATCTTTACAATCAAACCTTTTAGAGACGGATCCTTTCGACACACTTGTACTCGTCTCGCTGCCCTTCAGAGCTGCTGTTGAGGCGGCGGGGTCCATGTTCTGAGAGGCCATCGTCGGATCTGAGGAAAATAGATTTATAAATGCGCACATCGATCACAGAAAACACGTTTACCTGTAACGTTAGCACATTGAGATAGCGAGCTTCATCAATCAGGCTAAACTAACTAACTAATACAGTCGATGGAAATCGAAGCTGAATCGAATTCATCTTTTAAACTGACAAACAAGACAGAAATGCTTCGAGTTCGTGCTCAAAGACTAACTTAACGTTAAACGGGTTCTCATTTGGATGTGAGGTAAGTTACTAATAATATAACTAGCAGATACATAACCCTAAACGAACCTACGTAACTTAATTTTAATAAAATACAAGCATTTCTAAAACTATCGAAACAACGAATGCAGATCATGAGTTATCTAAAGCTGAAATATGAACAACAAAAACCCACTCGTCAGTTAACAGATCGAGTTGGCGAACGCGCTAATAAAATCATAAACAAACCAATTTATACAGCAATCTATTCAAATGTGCCGAATCAAACTTATATAACTTCATAGCAGTAGGCTATTATTTGACATGATATGTATATTACCGGCTGTGTTCAGTAGAGTCGACAACACTTACCGATGCTTGAACGAATTTTTAAATCACATCATCCCGCCCCCTGTTTAAACTTAGGTTACCAAACGGAACTCTCCGCCTAATCACCGTTTCAGCCAATCAGAAGCAAAGATGACGCACAAAGCGATCCCATAGCAACCAATGAGCATTCAAGATAGGTACAAAACACTTTGATCTTACTGGTTGATACAGCTAGGTGGGCGCGTCTATAACCGTTGACTAGTGTGAAGGTGCGTTCCATTCGACTAGTGATGGGATTTATGGCTCTTTGAGGGGATCCGGATCTTGGCGATCCGTTCCTTTCAAAGAGCCGTTCAAAAGAATGGCTCTTTTGGCTCTTTTTAAATATTTAGTATAATCACTGGGAGGAATGATGAGGTGAGATTTGTAGTCAAATAATTCAAACTCAGATATCACGCATCAATATCTGAGTTTGAATTATTCTGAAATATTGATTATTACCTCATTTGTCACGTGTGGGCTATATTTCAAAGGGTTGCACAACATCCCTCTGCTTAGAATGTGACATCACTATTTTGTATTTACCTTTAGTACAAAGTGAGTGTATGTGTAAAGCTGTTGACTTATGTTTTTCATACAATACCACAAGAACATTTTGATAAAAAACAAAAAATATTTAAAGTTGGAAATATATACTGTAGGCCTAGATACAATAACATTAACATGAACACAAAATGCAATGTAAATAAATACAAGCAGTTCCTTACTTTATGGCTTTTTAAAAAAAAAAAACTGGAGTAACCATGTGATGGCGGCGTGCACAAGTTTTGGCTCCGCTCCTACCCAATGACATAGGCACGTAGGGTTATAAAAGATAACGTAAAATATGCACGCGCGTGCACAACTATCACCCCTGCGCTGGGCGCCCCTTCCCCTGTAACTGAGGAGGTAATTGATGTGCATCTGTGTAAAACACGCATAGGAAAAAAGAACGACAGAAAGAACGGCTCCCCTCCAGCCGCGACTCGGCTCCCATCGTTCATGTTTATGAGCCGTTCAAAAGAATCGGTTCGTTCGCGAACGTCACAACTCTACATTCGACCGTAGTGGACTGCGAAGTGGACTTAACAGGGTATTTCGCCATCTTAAGTGAGATTCCAATTCGAAGGGAACGAACATGTTCAGTTCGAAGGGCACTAAAAACGGCATAGGGAATAAGGGAACATCGATACATCACTTCACAGGAAGTCAGTGAAGTCCACTTCAACTGATATACAGGAAGTAGGGAGCAGTGAACACTGCGTAGGGACTCTGTCGAATGGACGCACCTTGAGTCATTCTTAAAAATCTAAAACAAACTTTGATGAGAATTAATTTGAAAACACCATTTAGCACAAACCATTTATTGGTAATTTAATTTACATACAACAATAAACCGTACATTTTCAGTTATATAATAGACATGTGTGTAACAGGTATGAAATTCATTTAGAAAATAATTTAAATACTTCCCCCCCACTTTTAATAAGACAGAAAATTGGGTAAAGGTAAAGTTTTTCATTTCTTCTTTTTTAAATGCAATAATACAAAAGATGCTTGGGTAAAAATATCACAGCTCCATTGTGTAATGATGCTGCAAGAGGAAGTAACTAGCTTCTTTGTTTTTGTTCTTTAGAATAAAGCTGTGCATTTAAAAAGCAAGAAATAAGGGGGGGAATTAATGACCAAGTAACCTCCCTTTTAAAGCAGATATGACAAACAATGATAAATTCATAAAATCTATTTGTTTAAAAAATACGATAAATGTGCAGGAAAAAACACACACTAAACAAACATACAAAATGTCTATTAACCACAGAATTTAAAAAATCATTAAGGCTCTATATCTGTGCCTCAGTAGATATTTAATTCTTTAAATACAAATTCATGAAAAAACAAAAAAAAGCAAATCTGTACCATTAAATAAAATGTGGAAATCTGAATTGCCAAATAAACCTCCGACACAACAATTCCTGGGTAATGCCTGTGCCTACAGTGTACATCGCCAAGCAAACAACAAAAAGTTACAGTTATGCTAAATTGATAACACTGAGGAGTGTCCGTGGTCTATCGACTTGCCTGGCGAGTTTGGCATTACATGACAAGATCATTTTCTGTTTTCTGTGCTTCCATTGCCTTCTGCATCTTCTCCACCATCCAAATGGGCACTGTAAATGGTTTCAATTCATCCAGCTTCAGGTCAGGACAGTCCCTGAATTCAGAGAAAATATAATGATGTACAGTATGTTCCCACTAACATATGGCTTGTTTCCTCCACCGAATAAAAAAAAAAGAAGGTAATTGCGACACACAATTAGTCACAATTCTGTTATAAAAAGTCAGAATATAAACTCGCAATTTTGACCTTTTTTTTCCCTCAGGACTGCACGATAAACTCACAATTGCGAGTTATAAAGTCAGAATTATGAGATGTAAACTCGCAATTTCGACTTTTTCCTCAGAATTGCACGATAAACTCACAATTGCGAGTTATAAAGTCAGAATTATGAGATATAACCTCGCAATTTCGACTTTTTCCTCAAAATTGCACGATAAACTCACAATCGCGAGTTATAAAGTCAGAATTACGAGATATAAACTCGCAATTTTGGCTTTTTCCTCAGAATTGAACGATAAATTCACAATCGCGAGTTATAAAGTCAGAATTATGAGATATAAACTCGCAATTTTGACTTTTTCCTCAAAATTGCATGATAAATTCACAATCGCGAGTTATAAAGTCAGAATTACGAGATATAAACTCGCAATTTTGGCTTTTTCCTCAAAATTGCATGATAAACTCACAATCGCGAGTTATAAAGTCAGAATTACGAGATATAAACTTGTAATTTTGACTTTTCCTCAGAATTGAACGATAAACTCACAATCGCGAGTTATAAAGTCAGAATTATGAGATATAACCTCGCAATTTCGACTTTTTCCTCAGAATTGCATGATAAACTCACAATCGTGAGTTATAAAGTGAGATATAAACTCACAATTTTGACTTTTTCCTCAAAATTACACGATAAACTCACAATTGCGAGATAGTCAGAATTACGAGATATAAACTTGCAATTTTGACTTTTCCTCAAAATTGCGAGATATAAAGTCAGAATTATGAGATATAAACTCGCAATTTTGACTTTTCCTCAAATTTGAACGATAAACTCACATTTGCGAGTTATAAAGTCAGAATTACGAGATATAAACTCGCAACTACAAGAAATAAAGTCAGAATAGTGAGAGAGAAAAAAATAACTCGCAATGTCACAATTCTGACTTTTTTTCCTCACAGTTTAATTGAAATTTATCTCACAGTTCTGAGAATTAAAAAGTCGTTTAAAAATCAATTATCGTTTAATTCGCTTTATTCCGTGGCAGATACAAGCTTTTATACTAACATTTATGTAGAAGTTTGATTTAGTAAGAAAATGGGTTTATTTACTTGTAGTCATCACTTCGGGCAAGATCAAGAATATCCTCTTCTATAAGCAGATACGCCTGAGAAGAGTAACAGTTAAAATAGGATGATGAAGAATTGTAATTTACTGCTTTTTTTAGAAAAAAGAAAACTAAACAAACACAATTTTCTCACCATCTTTCCACCTGTGGCTCTCATGTGCTGTCTTTCTGAAAGCCAATGTTTGTCCTGAGCATCAGCGGCATACTGAGACACAGAAGATATTACGGCTCCTTCCACATGAACACAGAAACGGCTTTAGCAACGCTCAGAAAAAAATACAAATAAAATAAAATACCTTGAAGAGCTCTGCGTGTTTGATGTAGATTCTTCCTCTTGTACCGCCCATTCCCAAAGCCCTGAAATTATTTTGATTTGTTAAACGAATACATCCAAATCACATGTTTAATGTTAAAGGGTTAGTTAGTTCACCCAAAAATGATGTCATTAATGACCCTCATATCGTCCCAAGCCCGTCAGACCTTGGTTGAAGTAGACTCACTGCTTAAATATTTTAGTTTATCTAGCAATAAAAAATGCAATAGATTCCTGAAAATATATGTCCAATTATTTTGTATTGGATCTGATAGTCAAGATTAAACAGCTTTATATCATACATTGCTTATTTTATTTGTTTTAATTTATGTTTTATAATTGTGTAATGTAATATAATTATTTTATGGCACTCGATTTGGAATTATTCTGTATAATTTGTCTTTGCTTTACCTATTTTATGTTCTCCTGAATGTATTTGTAAATTTACATGTTTCTTCAAAAAAAAAAAAAAAGCCCGTCAGACCTCGTTCTGATCCACAACAGAACCGAAACACAATACCAAATGAAACAAAATGTATTTTCGATGCTTCAAAACATTGTAACTAACCCACTGATGTCACATGACTACTTTGATGATGTCTTTATTTCCTTTCTGGACAAGGACAGTATACCGTACACACATGTTCAATGGAGGGACAGAAAGCTCTCGGACTAAATCTAAAAGATGAACGGAGGGCCTGACGGGCTTGGGACGACACGAGGGAGAGTCATTAATGACATCATTTTGATTTTTGGGTGAACTACCCCTTTAATGTCAGCTATAGTAAAAAAAGACCAAACCTTTGTACACTTACTTATTTGCCCTGGATCCCAGAACGAATGTGCTGTTCTCATTCAGTCTGGATGGGTTCCACTATCAGACATCAACACCGACACATTAATATTACATAAACAGTTCAGTATCAATTATTATGCCATTTTAAAGCAATCACAGATTATATCTACCTTAGGTCCTTCTCTCTTTATTGGCTCGGATACTTTGGGTTTCGCTCTACGGAAAATGCTTTAAAATGTCAAAGGCTTGAATAGTTCATTTATGGAGAAATCAGATTAATAAAAGGTTTTCGGGAAACTTACGGAGTGCTGTACTGGGCCGTTCTGTCGTACTGTACAACTGGACCAGGAGGACGACCTTTCCTCTGAACAGAAACAAAGATTATCTAGTTATTATTGTGGGTATTTAGAACAATAGCGAGTGTGTGAATGTGTGTGAGACCTTAGTGTGTTTCCATAATGTCCACCACAGTGACCCTCAGTATTGTGTGTGTGTGTGTGTATATAGACCATTTTGCAAGATGTAAACAACACTGGTCCAGAAACACTTCCTGTTTCAGTTTGTAACTGTTTTCTTTATTTCACATGTAAAGAAAACATCTTAAAGATGTTTGTTTAACTTTCTGATTCAGTTTTAAATGTTCTGTTGGTTGTATTTTATCCCAGCTTTTATGTAGTGTTAAAAAACTGAAACAGGAAGTGTTTCTGGACCAGTGTTGTTTACATCTTGCAAAATGGTCTATATATCTCTATCTCTATATATAGATATGTATATATATACACAAACACACACGTCAAAACACTGTGGTATCAAATGTTCACAGAAATTATAATCTGTTACACTGTTAATTTGTGCAAATTATTTAATTTGCACATTTAAATTTAAGTTGTTATAATACTTTATTATTCTTTATTTTTATACAATGTGTTACAAGCTTTGGCAATATTGTAATATGTAGTCAAGCCAATAAAGCAATTTGAATTAAATTGAGAGAGAGAGAGAGAGATACTGAGTGTGTGTGTGTGTGTGTGTGTGTGTGTGTGTGTGTGTGTGTGTGTGTGTGTGTGTGTGTTTCTCCCCCTTCACCTTCTTAGGGATAGGGCTGTCTCTCTGACCGGATGTGTCGTCTGGCTGCCGTGAACGCTGTGGAACGAACAAACGACAAAAAACAATATGAAACCCAGAAAACAACAATGTTTAACTGATATAAAATACATCAGAACTAAAAAAAATATCAGATTTATTTATAGTTTTTCATGCAAACTTTGACATCTGAAAATAAATTTCAGGAGTCTTGTATGAATGAATGTCTTGTTTTGTTTTGGCTTATATATTTAGCTGTATAGTACTACTGCATAGCATTTTTTTTTGTTTGTTTGTTTTTTTTTGTTTTTGGCTTTTGCTATTTGTTATGTTAAATTCCAGCTGCTGTAAGGTCAGTTTTTTTATTTTTTGAATCTAGAATCGAGGACCCCCTCGAAAACGAGATGGCTCATCTCAAGGGGCTATTCCTCTTTAATAAAAAAATGTCAATATAAATTCTCAATGAATTGCATAAGTTGGATCACATTCACCTTCACTGCGGCGTCGACACTGGGCTTCTGAGCCGTTTTCTCCGCATCAGGAAAAAGCAGCTTTGCCTAAAACAGAACAATTCCCTGTTCAATTTTCCACAAACTTTTAACCAAACGTGTGTAGAAATGATGTTTTACATGTTCCAGGCAGTTTCTGCAGGCATCTCTGATAAGCTGATCCGGCTGCACGTCTCCACCAACGTTCTCCTTCACATTGCTGGCCGCCTTCTCAAAAAACTGTGCCGTAAAAACAAACACGATCAGAGTGATTTAATCACACACACACATCCAGTCCCAAAACAGGCATGGGTCACTCACCTTCATATATTTTCTGAACACCGCACGGATGTCGTCGTTGAAGCTGGGCTGCAGAACGGTCCGCAGAAGGTCCATGGATATGACGGGATCTGTGTAGCTGCACACAATGACAGTGTTTTGAAAGAGCCACAGATGTCGATAGGCGAAACTAATCTTGAAACACACATTAGTGGACTTACCTAACGGTCATCTGTGAGCGCCGTCCCCTGCGATGCACCTGTCTGTGTTTGATCATGATGTTCCAGGGATTCTGCCATTAAAGTGGATAATATATTATTATTACTGAAGAAACTATACTTTTTATGCAGGATGATCACATACTGTACAGTTTAATGCTCAATTTATAGTTGTAAGTTGCAAGGATGGTTTGACAGACAGTGCAATCCTTTAATACTTAGCATTTTGATTTACAGCTCATATACATTTATATGCATAGGCTGTGAAACGATTAATCACGATTAATCGCATCCAAAATAAAAGTTTGTTTACATAATATATGTGGGTGGGTGCACTGTGTATAATTATTTTGTGTGTGTGTGTGTATGTATGTATATAAAAATACACACACAAGCTCGTATATATTTAAGACATATTTTCATGTATATAGATTTATATATAATTTATATTATATATAAATAATATTTTTTCTTAAATATACATGCATGTGTGTATTTATATATATACAAAATAATGATACACAGTGCACCCACATATATTATGTAAACACAAACTTTTATTTTGGATGCGATTAATCGTTTGAAAGCCCTAATACACACACACATACATATATATATATGTTTTAGAGGTTGAGTAGTAAGTACACCTGAAGAATGAAACTTATTTGTTCTTAAAAATAAAAATTATAAAAATAAAATAAAATTAAAATAAAATAAAAATAAATAATTAGATAAAACTTTCCAGTAATAAGAATCTGGGTGCTCAACCATCAGAAAATTAATTTTCTTTGTGCAAAATATGTGTTCTCTTTTTCTTATGGGAGGAAACATGACCCGGAAATGTTCTTTACAAGTTTCATGCTCGGTTATGATGAGAGAATGATGATGATGATGAAGATGATGATGGTGTTTGACTCACCGCTGTCTGTACCTGCTGCTCAGTGAAGTCCTGCTGGAGCCATTCCCGGCGTCCCTCGCTCCTGTGGGCCCCCATCACTCACAATCAATGAAGATCGATGGAGAAGCTCCAGGGGTTTCTTGATGTTGATCGATAAGTGTTGCACTTCACTGTCACTGTGACCTGACAGCAACTCAATGCAGTCAGAGAGCTGAAGAGCTAATTCACACCCCTTTAAACTTTACTACAAATATGCATTGAGAATAACCGGTTTAACGGTATGCATTTAGACACACTGAAATAATCAGAAAAGTCACTGTTTGTCAAAGTTCGCGAGCTCGATGATTTGTCAGTCGCTTCCTCAAGCTCAACAATGCAGTGACGTAAACAAGAATGTAATCGACGATCGCACTTTCTGTCATTGATTTCAAAATAAAAGTCTGAGTTCTGCGGTGCGCATGCGTATCCCGATCATGGGCGTGGCCACACTTCAGATTCGCTCACACAGATCGGGCGGCCATTATTGTTGTGGCGACATTTCAGTTCAGAGAAATATTTTCTCGACAAATGTTACATTTCTAATATAAAACTGTTCTCAATACAACGCCATACTTTCACGATTTGCTATCGGTGTGTATTTCACACAAATGTATCTATTTCGTTAAAAGAAACAAATACGTTAGCCGTCAACGTGCCCCAATGCCACTAAATAACTACAATATGTACTATGATATTGCACAGAACTACAAGATTACCACGGTGCAATTTCCCATACGTAATACCATTGGTACTTTTTGTTCAACAAATTTCAAGCAGAAGACACTTGTGTGAGCACCAGCCAAGACCAAGTCTGTATCATAAATATAATAACAAGAGATAGCCAGGGATAGGTTTATGATTTCAATATTTTACTGAGAGCTTTTCTGATTCAGAGGAAAATCTTTATACCACTTTAGGTGATGGGAAATGCCACAACACGGATAATATACAGGTAGAAGAAACAAATTATATAAGCACAGACATATTTACATTCACTGAATCTTTGTCTTTCTCAGAATAAGATTACAGGGGAGACATTCGTGGCATTTTAAAGGACATTGAATCAACAAACGCAATGGCGACCAAATATAAATCAATCAACATGACTGATAAATGCAAATCGTTTAAAAGCCTAGTGTGGCAAAGCGTACAACTAACTAAACAATATAGATTTGTACAATTTATATATTGTTGTTGTTTTTTTTTTTTTGTAATGCAAAATATCAGGTCATGCACAATAAAAACCTAAACACACTTTTTGTAAGAAAACAAAGAACAAAAAGAGAGTTATAAAAATAAAGTTATGGATAAATGGATGTTTTTGCTGGTTACACTTTATGCATTACTGATGCAATCGTACACGGTTCTACTTTAAAGATACAAGATAAATTCCTCCTTTTTTTAATAACACTTTGGTTTAGTTTAAAACAACTATTTCATAAATTCTATAATTCATAAACAGTTTAGAACCAAAAAGTTAAATAATAAAATAAAATAAAAAGAAAACCATGGTCATCTTTTGTGTTCTTCTCAAATAGACTCACAACAGCTGTGTGGGGAAAACAACATGTTCTGTACAACATCTACAGTTTTGCTGGTGATCCACTCAGGGATTAGGAAATCCAACAAGTGCCCGATGCTCAATGTGATGTTACGTTGGATTTTAAAAATGGCAAACTGGGTTACATTACGTGTCAAACCACTGGAATGCTTTTAAACCGAATATAAAAGCCATTTCCCAAGACAATATAGTCCAGTGAGAAAAACAAACCTATACGTACTTACAGATGGAAGTGATTGGGTCTAATAAAGTGATAGTATACAATACGAATTACTACATGCGTATTAACATGGCAAAAAACAAACAAAAAAAAACACCATTGTAGTGTTTATAATCGCAAGTCCAATTGTAGCAACAATTTCTCTTTTCCTTTTTTTTTTTAAAAATGTACATTCAAAACGCTGCCCAGTGATACAATTTAAACTCAATATTATGTAAACAAATTTCTATGATTAGAAAAAAAAAAAGAGTCAACTTTTAAAGCACTTTTCACATACACGAAATCAAGGCAATAGCAACCAATTCGAATAACCGGACGCCGATGCATTTATTAGAAGAAGTTTGTTTGCTTTTCTTCGTTCGAGTTTCGTTCCAGGTGTCGGTGCTCTCAATTATAAAACACCCGAAATGAGAGGTAGACTCACCGGAGAAAAACGAGGGGCGTACGGCATATTTAGGAGCTAAATCATTTTTCAATAAAACCACAAACCGTTGGAATAATGCTTTCGTAACTAATAAGAAATTGTCTTTTTCCACTCGCTAAATGCTACAATTGATGTGACCCGGAATGCCACGATAGGACTTAAGGTTCACACAGGCTTGTACTGTACAGAAAAGAAGAGCGCAATAAAGGTACAAAACACTATTTCAGATTTGCTATTGTGTTCTGTACAATATTTTAGGAATAAAAGAAAACGGGCTGGATTTAACTGCAGATTTCTGCGTTTCTTTTATCATCACGTACAATTCATATTCTATCATGAAGAAACCAAACATAACCACTCCACTTGGAAAGGAACGCCTATCAAATGGATGTAACAGGAGCCAACTATTGATCCGAGAAGCATGATGTCATGATGAAGGCTTTTAAACATAGCTGCCTGATCGCCGATCGTCTTCTGACACAGAATTATCGAAAAAGATTCATATTCAGCTTCATCTTCCTGCCAGTGAGAAAAGCATAACGTTAAAGCGTGAACGTCACAAAGCCCGTCATGTTTCACTCCAAAAGCAGCGGAAAGAAATGTTATTTTGTTTTGGAAAATGAAGCCTATTTTTATGCATTGTTACAATATTTGAAGAGTTCGGATGCAAAAGCCTCTAAATGCCATTTGAAATTTTCTTCTTTAAATGATGATTTTTATCAAGCTTGTATATTTAAGTTCAGTGATTTCACTTAAATAACAATTAATAGGTAATTATCATTGCCATTTAAGTGAAATCACTGAACTTAAATATACAAGCTTGGTAAAAATTATCATTCTAGAAGAAAATTTAAAATGGCACTTAGAGGCTTTTGCATCTGAACTCTTAATTTCTATATATTATAAATGGAAAAAAAAACTATGCAGAATGTATTTCAGTAAAGATACCCCAATGCTAATACATTTCATTCAATTTTTTAAATAGCATTGTAACAGTAACCTTTAAACTGTAATAATACAGTAAATAATCACTGTATAATGAATGAAAATGATGTTATTGAAGTTAAAACGCTTCATTTTCTTTATGCAAAATATTTTTCTCTTGATCTTGGTGTGAAATGACATGGTTTGATGAGACGCACCCAAAAAGGCCAACAACAACAACAAAAAAGAAAGAATATGATATGCTTGACTACATTTACCATCTCTTAAAAAACAAAAAAAAAGTGACCAAACTATCTATACACTGATAAAAAAAAATGAGAATCAAACCTCTAAAACAAATAATATTAAATAATAGATGCGGAAGAAAGTAAACAGACACGAGTCTTCTCGCGTGAACACCCAAACCAAATATTACACCTCTCATACGATCCCATGAACATACATACACGTGTCCACACGCCCAGCGCCGTGTCTAAATGTTTGTTGTGTCCGGTGCAGTCTTGTCAACAGGACTGCTGTTGTCTTGACCCCTAGGGGTTCGTTCCTGGGCCGGTTTGGAGTCTTTATCTCCGGTACTGGTTGAAGAGGGACCAGGTGAGGGCAACGAACGCCCGGAGACCTTGTACGCCCCCAGGAGCTCCTGGATCCTCTCCGTAGTGGGCTCCCATTTGGCAAAGCCGGCATTGTTTTGGAGGAAAATGACTGCGGTTCCATGGACGGCCTTATAGTACATCTCTTCTCTGAGAGACACAAAGCCAGGAAAGTTAAAACATCCGTTTCGTGCAGTAAACAAGCAATGAAACACCACTAGAACAAGGAAATAGAGCAAGGTGGCCGATGGGACCAAAATCTTACATTGAGAAATTTTATTTAGGGTGAATTGCCCTAGTGTGGGACACCTAAGGTTTACTGTTTTGTAGGTGAAAATATGGGTTAGACAAAGCTGTGGTGTCATGTATACCTGAGGAGGTTAGACAGCTCAATATTTACAAGGCTTTTACAAAAAACGTGAAAATTTGGCTTATTAACAATTATGTCTGCCAACATTAAAAGCCGAACCAAGAGCTGTATTATATATTTAATATATAGTCTTTTTGTAAATGTGTTTTTGTGTATTTTATTATTGTAATAGGCATGTTATCTTATAGTGTTATTTAGATATTTTTTAGTCAATTTGCTATAGACCTATAAATGTATTTTCTTGTTTGTATTGTAATGCTTTTTTACATCTTGGCCAGGGGACTACAGATGAAAAATAGCCTTTTGGCTAATTCTGGCTTTTTTAACCATGTTTGTTCATGTGTTTTTTGAAATTGCACGGTCCCCTTTTAAATAAACCAATAAATCAAATCAAATCAATGTGATCAAAATCACATGTCCTATCAAATGTCTAATCATATTTGAGGGTGGAGCAATCATCAAACAGGACCATCCGAAGGCTAATGACAGAGTTTTAACAAATTTGGAGAGCACTAATATGTCTATAATTTCTCTTATGAATGGCTTATCTGAATTTTCTCTTTTGATTTGATTAGAAGACATACTGGGGGTTTTAAAATGGTATTGGTTGTGGATTTAATGTTTTAGTTACACATCGCAATATAAAATGTCTCACATTAGGGCAATTCACCTACACGTTAAAGGGATACTCCACCGTTTTTCATTTTAGGGCTTGGAGCCCGAGGGGCTTAAGTGGCATTTTGGGGCAAATATGAGTTATAAAAATAAAGTTATGGATAAATGGATGTTTTTGCTGGTTACACTTTATGCATTACTTGATGCAATCGTACACGGTTCTACTTTAAAGATACAAGATCATTTCCTCCTTTTTTAATAACACTTTGGTTTAGTTTAACCCTTGTGCATCCTTATGGACATTTTTGTCCTTTTCAGTTTTGTTTTTTTGATCACTTTGCCTGTGTTAAAGCTAACTGCAAAAAACTTGGCACGGGTGTTTATTTTTATTGGAATTTTACTATTTCACCGTCATTTTCTTAAAAAAATATTTTTTGCATTAGGTACAAAAAATACTCCCTCATAGCGCCTTTTGGACAAAAACGTCCCCATTGAAACCCATTAAAACTGACATTTTTAATCCCCGGTTCAGTTAACTATAAAATTATGCAATCTTTGTTAAGAGGCTTTCATTCTGTTGGCAAGGCTTCAAAATTTTATTTTTTACTATTTTTTATCACATGGTGCCATTTTTTTTTATGTTTGGCCTACAAACAAATTTCGCTTTATTCCTGTTTTCTGGTTCGGCATATTATAGAGCCAACTGGATCAATTATGCAACAATATTTGTGTGGGTGTGTTGGTATGGATGTCGGAGTGTGGTTAGTATGTGTGTGTGTGTGTGCGCATGTGTGTGTTTGTAATACTGAGAGAAAAAAACTGCAAATTCAAATCCAATCACTGTGAGCTCCAGTGGGGTTTTGCTGGCACCCAATGGGGAAAATATGTTACTACACCCAAACAAACTGTTACCGAAAGCTCATTTTTTGAGATATCATCCTAAAATTTGGAACACAACCTATTTAGATTTATGTCTTTGATTTTATTGCAGTTTTGAGTTCAACCTGTTTTATAAAATATATATAATATATAAAATATTTTTTATAAATAATTATCATAAACTTATACCTATATAACTTTTTTTTGGATTTACTTATTATTATTTTTTTACTTCAGCAATAATCTGCAAAGGGTCTTCTTTAAAATGATACCAAACTTGCTCCAAAGTCTGTGCTCCAAAGCGTCACATTTTTATGACAGTTTTTTGACATGGACATTTTTGTCCTCTTTTTACCTATGTGTAACTTTTTTTAATTGATGCACAAGGGTTAAAACAACTATTTCATAAATTCTATAATTCATAAACAGTTTAGAACCAAAAAGTTAAATAATAAAATAAAACAAAAAAAAGAAAATCATGGTGAAAAAGACATCTTTTGTGTTCTTTTCAAATAGACTCACAACAGCTGTGTGGGGAAAACAACATGTTCTGTACAACATCTACAGTTTTGCTGGTGATCCACTCAGGGATTAGGAAATCCAACAAGTGCCCGATGCTCAATGTGATGTTACGTTGGATTTTAAAAATGGCAAACTGGGTTACATTACGTGTCAAACCACTGGAATGCTTTTAAACCGAATATAAAAGCCATTTCCCAAGACAATATAGTCCAGTGAAAAAAAAAAACAAACCTATACGTACTTACAGATGGAAGTGATTGGGTCTAATAAAGTGATAGTATACAATACGAATTACTACATGCGTATTAACATGGCAAAAAAATAAAAAAAACACCATTGTAGTGTTTATAATCGCAAATCCAATTGTAGCAACAATTTCTCTTTTCCTTTTTTTTTTTTTTTTAAAAATGTACATTCAAAACGCTGCCCAGTGATACAATTTAAACTCAATATTATGTAAAAAAAAAAAAAAAGAGTCAACCTTTAAAGCACTTTTCACATAAATCAGTTCTTTACATCAATATAGAGCAACAAAAAGGCGTATCTGACATGTTTGACTTCTTTTGTATTTGAAAATGTTTTTCCCAGCCCAACCGAAACAAACGTCTGACCTTTTGCAGATGTGCTGCGAGCCGCTGCGGTACTCGTGCTCGAAGGGGGGCACGACCATCTGGTGCCTTCGGAAGCGACTGGACTCCATCCGTGTCAGCGCAGGGGTCGGCGGGTCACGCCACTCGGGCACGAAGATGATGAAGGACAGAGGCTCGCTGGAGCGTTCCAGAAGATCCTGAGAAAGATAAACACAATGAGAATCAAATGGGACATTTTATATCACCATATTCCAGGTTAATGAATTTGAGTCACACACCTCAAAGCGTGTCACCATGTTGTCCATGAGCTCCTCACAGAACGGCGGGTTTGCCTCAAATGAGCCACTGGCCGGAGAGAAGCTGAAAAACGGCCTGTGAGGACAAACGGTAACGCTTGCTTTTATACAACGGCAATAACAGATTAATTATAATTTGTAGGGCTGGGTAATAAATATCGATTTCTCGATATTAATCAATTCTCATTTTTACGAACCGATATCGATTCTTAAATCTCAAGAATCGATTAGTCGTCCTGTTTCATTTGAATGAATGGATCATTGTATCGCGGCTGCGCGCATCCAAAAACATCGCTATAATCTTTGTCCTTTGTTACTATTGATATGAACGTAATTGACAAATTACGTCCATTTTCTTTAGAAATTCAAAAACATAAATAGCGTTTTGGCGCTGTGGCTCAAGAGAAGCGGCAGCGCTGATCTCTCTTCCGGCTTAATAATATCAGTCACAGCGCCAAATAAACATGAATGAGCATCTGAAAGTGTGTTAAAGATAGAGTACAACTTATCCAAATCCGTATCATGTCACATTGATTCGCTCAATCAGCGTTTCAACCGTGGAAAGACGTCAGTTAAACAGCTCGTAATCAATGTCATCGTCATATTTACCTCAGAAAACCCACATAAACTCGTTAGTCCACACTCGTTAGTGTTCTTCAATATTTAATGCATATTTGAATAAATCTGGCAAGTTTTTATGACAGCCACCATTTAAATGTTTATATTTCATTTAATCTTCTTATTATAAATATAAATAAAAGTGTAATTTAAGTGTTTGTATAGCTACAAAACAGTTGATTATTACCTTCATTAGACTAATGAAGCCTATAGGCTACAACTAGACTCCCATAGTTTACAGCATTTAAGAGATTTGATTCCCTTGAGAATAATTGCCATTTATTGTAATTGATATTACAATACGAAATTACGAAAATAATCAATATTGAATCGAATCGTAATCGAAATCGAATTGCAAGCTTGTGAATCGAAATCGAATGGAATTGTGAAATTTGTCTCAATACCCAGCCCTAATAATTTAATTTCATTTGTGGCACAAACATATATACAGTGTTGGGAAAGTTCACTTTCTACATGAACCAGTTCAAAGTTCAGTTCACAAATTGAATACATACTTCACAATTTTGAACTAAGTTTGCACAGAAATGTAATATTTTTCCCATCCTCAGCGACCTTGTCATAAAACTTGTTTAAATGATCATAGGACGTCTCCTCGATGCTTTGTCGACTACATACTGACAGACACTGATTGGGTGTTTTTTCGCTACATATTAAGGCCTGTTTGTGTGTATTTTATCTGTTTTTTCTCCTGGATGGCTGTATAGAAATCTGGCACCCTATTGAGCGAAGTTAAACAAAATATGTTACGAGATGATGACATGATTCATGACTCCATTCATCTCCAAAAGTCACTTCATGAGCATTTTAACGTTTCATTTGAGAAAAACTATCGTCATATCACACACGCACATAAACTCAAAGGTCTTCACGGCAACCCGTACAAAATAAAAGTTTGGTTTAACTTAAAGAAATTGACAGAAATAATTATATTAGGCTACTGTACAATAGATTCAACTACTCCATTAATTAAAAATACTACTACTACTACTAATAATAATAATAATAAGTGCGTAGAAGGTTGCTTATTTTTCACTTGATTTTTTTATAAGCAATATTTCTCAATATCGTCAATATTTTTATTTAAACAGCATGTAGCCTTCAATGCTTTCATACATTGACCGTCAAAAATAATAAAGTCATTGAATTTAATAAAAAAAAAAAAAACCGTTTTCAAATAGTTAAATCAATTGGTAAAATAGTGCTGTGGTACCGAAATTGGTACCAAGATGGTATCGGTACCGACTAGTGGAATTTTGGTACCGTGACATCCCTATCTGTTGGAAGGTCACTTTTCATTGTGTGTCAATCAAGAACTAATACACATACCCTCGAGATCCAAAGAAGCCGTCAATGTCTGGAAACGCGGAGCAGAACTGCTTGAAATAGCAGTTCAGTGGAGAAGCGAAGCACTCAAATGTCACTCCAAACTTTTTGTTGAGAGCCTCAAAGACGGGGACGGGTAGCGCCCCTTGCAGGCCAGACCCCTCGTTCACACCAGAGCCAAACATCACCTGTAATCCACAAGAGGGTGGAAACACATTGATGCCGCATTTGCTTTCCTCATTGCTTACCAATACATGTGACTTTGAGTCTTACCTGGTATCTTTTGATAAGGCACCACACACGAGACAAGAACTTTTCAAACCTTGGGTCATCTATGCAGCTGTATCGATAAAGGAATTCCTGTGTATGCCAGAGATAAAAATGCAACAACATAAGAATCCAATTTAGTGTAAGTTTCTGGTTTTAATGGATTCACTTTTAAAAAAAACTTTTGCTGATAATTTACTCGCCCCCATGTCATCCAAGATGTCCATGTCTTTCTTTCTTCAGTCGAAAAGAAATTAAGGTTTTTGATGAAAACATTCCAGGATTTTTCTCCATATAATGGACTTCAATGGGGACCAAACGGGTCAAGGTCCAAATGAGAGTTTCAGTGCAGCTTCAAAGGGCTTTAAACGACTCCAGACGATGAATAAGGGTCTTATCAAGCGAAACGAGCGGCCATTTAAAAAATAAATAAAAAAGTTGTAGATTTATAAGCTCAAATGCTCGCCTTGCTCTTTTCTGTGATGCGCGTTCGTGAATCTCCTGTTCGAACTCGTTCATCAAAACGAACAAATCTTTTTTCGAGTCAAAGATTTGTTCATTTTGATGAACGAGTTTGGACCCCATTTTTTAAATGAGCACTCGTTTCGCTTGATAAGACCCTTATTCATCATCTGGAATCGTTTAAAGCACTTTGAAGCTGCACTGAAACTCTCATTTGGACCTTGAACCGTTTGGACCCCATTGAAGTCCATTATATGGAGAAAAATCCTGGAATGTTTTCATCAAAAACCTTAATTTCTTTCCGACTGAAGAAAGAAAGACATGGACATCTTGGATGACATGGGGGTGAGTAAATTATCAGCAAAAGTTAAAAAAAAAAAAGTGAATTAATCTTTTAATTGGTTTTGAGCTTGTGTTAGCGTGTACACACCAATTTGTTAAAATGACCACGGTTGACCTTCACCATTTCCCCTTTATACCGCAGACAAGCCAAGTCGTTCTCGAAGTGGAGCTCAACGCGCGGCTGAGGAGGAGACGGGATGGACAGTCTGACTGGATAACAATACACCAACCGGTCCTGAACCTCCGTCGACTCGGTGCCGTCCACTTTAAAGCAAGAAGAGTAGTTCAGAGGGGCTCAACCCAAGAGCAAATATCAGCAAAAAATCATCCCTAATACAGTTTAAGAGTTTAAAGATAACTTGCACACTAAGGAGGGTGGGTCTTCCTGGGAAATGGCCAACTGCTCTCAAAAGGTGTAAACTCTGAATGCAAATTCGCATTGTTAGCAGATGTGAAAGCGGTTTCTGTCTATATAATGAAATGCAACCAGAGGCTCAGCGTGATTCTGTAACTCAGACCAGCAAGTGTAAGCAAAACACTTTGCATCATCTATTTTATAATGGCACACTTTTTTTTTGGACTCAATTCTACAATGTTAAGTGGGTGAAAAAACCCTCCTTAATCTTGTATTTGGGTCAAAAATGGGCACCCATAGAAATGAATGCGAAAAACTGTATTCTAAAATAAGACAGCAAAGTCACTTCATCTTTAGGTTTTAGCTCTAAGAACTTATTGGAATGATATTTTAATGTAGTTAAAAAAATAAAACATAAAAATAAGCATAATTTACCTAGAAAATATGGTACTTTTTGAAGTAAATAAATTCAAAAATACCCCCCAAAAATAAAAAAACACCATAAATGGATAGACAAAACTTTATCAAAGACAGTGATATAACATTTATAATAAATAAAAATTAGGATCACACCCGAGTCCTCTGTGCCCACATTTGTCCACAATTACAGGGCTATAAAGTGAATACGTTTTGAGGACTACACTAACAATGAGTAGTTGTACTTAT